TGCTATGGCAATATTGCAGGGGACTGGCTTCACTTAGAAAACTCCATGGGACAGAAAGGAAGTGATAGACATCTGTGACAAAGATGCCATCTTGTCCCTGCTATCAGGAGGGCCCACGAACCCTCCCTTTCACCCTCCATTGTTCCCTGGCAATCTGCAGTGGTAACTAGAGTTACTATATACCTGTGCCCAGCTGATTACCCTAGCAAAAGCATATTCTTTTTTTCCCCTAAACTGCCAGCCCAGTGGAATTCATTTGCTACTTGTTTTTCAGTGTTAGGTGATTTAACCAATGAGAAAGAGAATGGTTGCAGAAAAAAGAGGTAGAAGGTTCATCCAAGCCATGATTGAGGTAATGAGCAAAAACTTGACAGACTCCAGGATTCTTCTCTTCTGTTTCTCCAAATGACTTAAAGGCAATGATGTAATTCATAGCCTCTGATCCTGCTGTCACTCCTAGTTGGAGAGTCCTCCACCATCCTTTCTCATTGTCAACTCCTCCAGTGCTTTCCAGGTTTAGAACAAGACTCATGTTCTCCATTAAGTGCTTTCTTTCCATTCTCATCTACATAGTCCACTCTGATGACCTTTTATTGTTTTATAGACTCTTATTGTTTTAATACTCTGCAGTGTTAGATATCAAATTCGCAGACATTCTTTGCATCTCTCTAAATGACTGTTTAAACTCCTTAAGAAGAAGGATGGTGTCTTATATATCCTCAGTGTTAATGATTTACCTGATACTGTAGCACTTTTTGAATTAAACTGAATTGACTAATTTATCTGCAATTCACTTGCAATGCTAAGTTACTAGCCTTGAGTTGGAATGAACAGTGCCGAAGGATATAAGACAAATATTAAAGTTGGTCAAGTCTTCAGGAGAATAGCTCCATGAGTAACCATAAATTCCCTGTGAAGCTTGGGTGAAGAACATCCTTTATGTCCATAACCCTGGACCACTGTGAGCAAGCAGAGAAAAAAAGATGAAGGGTGGTTGAGATGAAAGGAAGAGAAAATTAAAGAAGATTGGGGAATCTTTTTTGGAGACTTATTTTGAGACTATAATCAAGAGGACAGTTCGTCATCATGTGTTTCCAGGCCCAGTGTTTTGTAGTAAAGTATGGTTTTAGAGAGAGAAAAAAAAAATCACTGGGGCAGAGAAGAAGTTGTTCAGTGAATGATGTATGAGCTCCTGGAAACAACTGGAAGAGAAAAAGAGGAACAGTTCTGGAAGTGGAGTGACAAAGGTGTGGAAATGGGAAAAAATGGGTTGAAGATCCTGAGTCTAGAGATGAGAAAATATGGGCATACTTGGGGTAAAATGTTATGCAGCCTGGATGGGTCTCAAGAGGTATCAAGGGGAGTTTACATAGTTACTCACAGAGTTCACCTGGGTCATTGTGGATCCTGACTCCTTTCCCTACCCAGGAGTGAGAGGGCTCTCCAAAAGGTAAGGAATGTCTAGGGTTGTGTTGCAGGGAAATGAGGCTGGAGAGAGTTTGTTCAGCTAGGGGCTGGTTATTAGCCGTCCTCGTCTTCTGGTGTTAAGGCTCCAGCCTATTCATCTCTGGGGACAGATTCTACGTTGGAGAGAGCAGAATTGGGCTCTGGAGAAAAAAGGGCAAGTGGAGAGCCAACCTTTACTACTGCATTCCCCAAACCACTTCAGCTGTGTTGGTTTGTTTTAGGTATCTCAAAGTTTGCTTATTTCTGAGGATGAGATTTGTTGTTGCTGCCAGAGGGAAAATGGTCTGAACTTAGGAAATATCCAGAAGCCCACGGCAATGCTTTCATTCTCTTCATGGGACTGATTTCTATCCATATCCTCAGGCATGGCACTCTGTTCTCCCATCTATAAAATGGGGATAATAACTCTGCTCTGATAGAGATACTATGGGAATAAATGCATTCACCAGGACTCTCTCTTTGAAGTCAATGAGGATGTGTTATCATTACCATAAACACTTTCACACTCTCCCTTTGAAGACACAGGTAAAACCCGGAGGCATCTCAAATGCATTTAATTGAGTCCATTTTTTTTTCTCCCAACAGAATTATACAAGAGATGGCTAAGGTGTGTAAGTGGGAAGAGGCAGCCTTGTGGGTGGAGGAGAAATAAAATGTTAAGGGCAGAACTTCAAATCCTAATAGTAATCATAAGCCTAATAATAATGATGTAGATTATTGTCAGGAGTGCCCAACTTTTCCTTTTTTAAACATTAAGTCCCTTCTAAAACATGCTGTAAATATCAACAAAAAATTTGGGTAGCCTCTCGGGCTGGAAGCTGATTTCAGAGGTACAGTTTACAGGAGGGAAAAGAAGCCCCTAAGAACCATTGTCAGTAGCCACATGAGGAGCCAGAAGTTGGAGACTTTGTCAGAAGGCAGATCTGTAGCCCTTGTAGTCTACTTTGTTGGCAAAAAATGGCAATTCCAAAGTGAATTCCAACTACCAGATGCCTGCTTTTATTATTCAAAATTCAACCTTAGCACAAAAACCTTGAGTGATTTTTCTCTTTCTTTTTTCTTTTCTTTCTGCTCTTCCTGGGCTGATTCTATTAATTTCCCCCAATGGCGTGTGCAGCCCTGCACTGACGCAGCCATTGATGATCTCCTTATTCATTTCATAGCAGAGAGGCCATTTGGATGAATATATGTTCCCCATTTTCTTTGCATTATAAATTCAGTGTTGTGGGAAAAGGAGCGAAATGTAATGGCAAGGCCTCCACAGAGAAATGTCCCTATTTGAGAAGAGGAGTTTTATAGGGGGGAACAATTGACAGCCTCTCAGTACAGTGGGCACATTTTTCTGTACAACTGCATCACCACTAATGATAAATGAGGAACGTTTGATAGCCGGCTCCGTTGTCTGACAGCTACAGTTTTGGCCAGAGGGCCGTGGCAGGCTTTAGACTTCTGTTCAAAATGAGTTAAACATATTAGGCATTATGAAGGCACAGAAGCCTCGAGAACGAGTGCTGAAATGAGTGATCCGGGTAGGCTCCTGGGTACACAACTTGCAAAGCAGATGTCATTCTAATAATGTGTGATATAGAACATGCCTGGTCTAAACCCTGCTGGATGAAATATGAAGCCCCGTTGGTGATATTTAATACCATTTTATGAGGTGCCATCTTATAAAGACAATGCCCGCCGTATGTGGAATGCTTAAGGTATTTTGCCAAAGGCACAGGGAGGTATCTGAAGTAAGTAGAATTTTTATTATTTTATAAGCCTTTACTTTGTAATATTTCTGTTTCCACGTTATTGTGGGGGCTTGCTGCCCTAACCCTTTGTCGAGTGAACTTGATGAGCGGCTTGCCAGTAGATTGACGGATAGCCCGTGCTGTTTCTGGAAGAAAAGACTAGCTCCTACCTAAATGCATTCTTCCAAAAACCCTCAAAGAGGAAATACAGCTTTGCTACAAGCATTCTTCGAGCAGGGACTTTGAGGCTGGCATACAAAAATATTGCCATTTTTCAAGTAGACCATTTCGAGGGTAATAGAGGATTTGGATGGACTGCAGCTTCTTGAACACGCTTTCTCCTTCCTCTACAGTTTCTGATGCTAGGAGCCCACCAAAGCTTCCAATTTTGGAGTCTCATTCAGGACATCCCAAGGTGGATGAGCTTGTAAATCTTAGCCACAGCATCAGTGTGGGGCTTGCTGCCCCTAATGTCCTAAAAGAGCTAAATGTGTGAACAGCAGTGGCCCAGGGCTGGCTGTGTTTCCTGGGAGTGGTATGTGTGTTGGAGATAGGGTAAGGGGGCTCCTGGAAATAAGACACCCAATTGAAAACACATCACATTTACACTTTATTTCAAAGTGCCTTCAGTTACCACCTTGCTTACCCCATAAAGCATTCCTGAAGTTGAAAACCGTATACCTGACCAGATTGAGGGTGTAGTGTCTGTTCTCCTCATTCTGGTGTTCTGGGCAGTGACATTTCTTGGAGTATCTGTTAGGTGAAGGGTCCTGTATTGATTATGGATGCAGTGGGTGAAGAGGAGGAGAATCATTTTCTTCTTCTTCTTCTTCTTTTTTTTTTTTTTTAAATAAAAAAGGCTTCATTTTCTGAGAGCTTGGCTAGACCATCTGGGGAAATATAAGATGTACCAATGAAACAGCTTCCCAGTACATGTGCAAAGTAACATAACCAAGGACAATTAATTCAGAATTCAGGACTAGCCCTTTGGATAGACCTCTGCTAAAAACTTTTGTGATGAAGCAGCACTCTCTATTAACGCTAAAGCATATGCACGATGCCCATGGTTTTTTTGATGTCTGCGACTAGGAAGGCTACTCGTTAATACACCATTGCCTCTCTGCCACCAACAATGGAGCTATTTACTAACACATAGTTTGGTGTTTGTGTTTCCAATGGGTTTATATGGATTGTTCTTATTCTTATTATGTGCGATTGAGTTAAATATTTACTAATTAATGAAATATGACTGCAAGAAGAAGAGAGTTCTCCCTCTGTTATTGAAATGAACACTTCGGGACTACTTGATGAAAGCAAGTCACTAAAATAAGTGTTCGGTTGGAATAGGCATGCATAAGACATCTGCAAAGGGTTGGGGGAAGATCATTAAAATTAAAAGTACTTTACATTCAGATTGCTTTGCAAGTGTCTTGGTTCTCACCCCACTTTAAAGAAACTGAGATTAGAAATTGTAGCAGATGGAAACTATGGGTGTGGTTTATGCAAGAAAGACAACCTGCACTCCAAACAACTGATTCAAGGATGAAGCTTAGGTTTAGATCAGAAGATTGGCAAATAATCTGCTTTTATAAATTTTAAGCTAAATGAAAATGTTTAATGTCTATATAGATGATTTTTGGAATTCTATGCTTTGACAGACTTTTTCCATTGATCAGCCTGATATAGGTCCTCTTTGCAGAGAATCTGAATCTATTCAAGTTCAAACTGTTGATAGAATGCCAAGCAGAATGGTTATTTTCTTCGATGAGCTGGATTTTCACTCCTGTTTTTCAGGAAATGAAGAAGATTGGAAAAAGTTTCGTATTCAAAATAGAACAACATGATGGAGTAGGGAAAAGAGCACAGCTTTTGGAATGTGATGACCCAGTTCTGATACTTAGTTTAAATAACCTTGAGCAGGTATGTCACTTAACCTTTCTGAACCTGTTTCCTCATTTGTAAAATGAGGATGATCATATTCTTTCCTGTCTACCTTTGGCTAACACATGATATAATGTGCAACCTTTAACATCCTCTATGGATATGTAGCAGTATGCTGCTGCTACTGTTACTGCTATTACTGCCACTGTTACTACGATCGTTACCACTGCTGCTGTTGCTGCAACTAATACTGTGCACCAACTAGTACTACTTGGGTGTTAATGTGACTAGGGAGAATAAGCACTGATTCTCCTTCATTCCTCATGGCCTTTTCTGGAAATACAGCTTTGCTTCTGAGGAAGGGAGAGTACTGACCAGCAGTTTGGAAGACTGCTTTCTAGTCTTCTCTTTGCCACTCACTCTGTGTGGCAAAATCGAGAAGGCTTCTCGATTCTCCTATGTGTAGAATGAGGGATGTTATGCTACCCCATGGTTTTCAAGCTACTTTTCTTCAGAGCTCTTGGTATCTATATCCATATGATCAGTTCCATTAGTATATCATTTTATATAGTGGGTCTATGTAAGACTTTTTTCTAAAAAATAAAAAAAAATTAATATTGTAAAAAGTTTATAAATCACTGGATTAGAGGCTCCCTAATGTCCCTTTAAGCTCCAAAATCCTTCCATTTTTGTTATTCTGTGAATTACCATGACCCCCATTCCTTGACTCAGAGAACTGTGGTTATTTAATTCCCAACCTAATCACCAGAGCCAAAGAGAACAAATTGTCCAAGCAATTAATTGTCTCACATATGTGTTAGTACCAGCTTCCAGCATGTGGCCTGGCCCTTCCCTTTGTGGACAATGGCAGGCTCAAGGTCCATATGACAATATCTTTTATGCCAGACGTCAGGTCTATCCTTTAAATGAGACCTGAGACCTTTTATACTTTCCAAGAGAAGTCTGGGAGACTTGTGATCATCATTTTTAACTAATGTGTTTTAAAGGCCTGTGTTCACCTTACAAAAACACAAGCATTAAGGAAGAAGAACATGTGATAGCTACAAATACCCTGTTTAAGTCTCTTTGTATGAAATCACAATTGATTGATCTTTCGATATAAATATCTTGATAAATAAATTAGGGAGAAACTCATGCTCCAAAAAATGAGAAGAGAAGTTGTGATTGGTTGCTACCATAGGGCCAGTCTGTGCCTCAGCAAAGATACTATTAGGAATTGAGTAATTTCCCCCTTCACCTCTCTTTGCTGGAAAGTTCCCAGGTTGTCCCTCCAAGGGATTCACCATAGGCAGTAAAAGCCCTACTTCCAGGAGAGCCACCCACTGCCCCTTTGGTTTCAGTATGCTGACCTTTGAAGTTTCCTTCACTCAGAGTGGATGACAACCTGATATTGCCTGACCAAGGGAATTCAGAGAGACTGAAACCCTTCAAATGGACTCTGTCTCTTGAGTGTTATAATTTTTATCCTATTGCGATAAAGAGTCAAAGAGCTACTGAGACCAGAGAGAAACACCCCTAATTTCCATAGGCTTCTGAAGCAAAGTTTTTGACTACTGACCCCAATGAAGCACAAGCTCCTCATTTGTGTTCTGTGAATTTTCACAAAGGAATCTCTCTATTCTGATTTGCATTTGTAAGTAAAGAAGGAAGCATTGCTCTGCTTGCTGAACAGACAGATTAATCTGTACTTAAGTGTTCCATTTTCCCACAGTAGGGTAAAAACTTTGCCAGCATGGTGAGGAAACTGAATGATTCAAATAAACAAATATTTTGGTTGTTGGAGAGTTATGGCAGCTACTATATACATGGTTTCTTATTTCCAAAGTGTCAGAATCCAATAATTATTTTTTGGAACAATTAACATATGGAACATAGTTGTATTAGATATATACTAGTATCTGTATATGGGAGTTACAGACATCTATCCAGGAATATATAAATAAAGAAAAAAGAATTCCTCTTGAGCATTAAGCCATAAAGTCAACATCTATTGGATCAGAGCATAGATAAGCAATGTGTTACAGTAATGAACTGACTTTCACATTCAGAAATACCTGGTTGCAAGCCAAGTCATTGACAAATCTACACAAATGATATGTTTATCGGAGAAGGGACTAATCAGATACAAATGTAGAAAAAGAAGAGAATCATGGCAGTAATCCTCGGCTCATCCAAGTCTCATCCAGGAGAGAGAGTGGTGATGCTGTGCTTTGGTTGAGATGGGTATATCTGGCTATGCCGTCTAACACACCAGCAGTCCAATTGCTTGTTCTGATTCACATTAGCTTCCGATAAGTGTTCACCTCACCATGAGGCTCTAGCCTGGAGGAGAAAGCTACAGGGGCAGCCTGACTCAAGGATTTTGATCTGAATGAAAATAATATTTCTTATAAATAAATAAATTAGTCTCCCAAGCTTGGTTTTCATGAGTCTCCCAGTGACAGAGGAGCTGTTCTTAGGTGTGCTGATGAATTAGGTTCCAGAGGCTGTCAAAAATACAGTCCAGACCCTTACTAACCATGGACCCAGTTCCATATTATGTCATGTCCATCAGGGTAAATGCAAGAAGGAAATAAATGTGGGCCTGTGAGACCTCATGGGGGACAGCTCGCTGGGCCATCCCCAGATAGGCACATCCTTCTGTATGTTTGCACTGTGGCACCACTTCCTCTAATGAGAATTCTCTACCTGTCATAAGCAATATGAGTATACGTACGAGTAGGTAAGTCAGATCCCTGTGTCTCTCTTTTCCTCCTTTTTACCATAGCAGGCAAAACTGCTGAGTCCTCAAGTCAACCATTTAACATTTTCAGCTTTGTTATTTTCCCTGCTTAGCCCTTGAGTGCTGTGTCTAGGCTTGAGTTTAGCCATTTTTTCCCTTTTCTTCATTTCTTTAAGAGTTTTATTGAGATTTAATTGGCGCACAGTAACAACACATGTTTAAAGCATGAGATTTGATGAGTTTTGACATATTTGCATACCCATGAAACCGTAACCATAAGTAAGATAATAAACATATATATTACCCTCAAAAGTTTCCTTGTGCCTCTTTGTAATTCCTATGACCCCTGCTCCTGGGTGATTACTCATTGACTTTTTGTTCTAGAATTCTGTTTTAAACTAAGCTCTTGCAGGAGTCTTTTTGCATTAGTAACCTGTAATAACATTTTTTGCCTTCCTAGCTTCCCTTAATCCAGTTGCCTAAACTGACCTTATCTAGCTCTATTGAAAACCAGTGTCCGCATTTCACTGCTTGCTACAATAATTCCCTGTTAATTGTGACCTCCTTATCTGGATTGTGTTTCATTGTTTGCTGCTAGAATTATTTCATTTAACATTCTTGCTGCATTGTTCACCTGTGTGGCTTTCTATACCCTTGGCACCAACCATCATCAGCTAGTTTCCACCTTTTTTTGGCTGCCACGCTCTGCATGGCAAATAACTTTGTATTGCCACTACTTTACTGCATGTACTTGATAGTTCTGGTGAACTTCCCCCTTTGTCTTCTGGAAAGCTCCTGAATGGTTGCCTAAAGTCACTGGCCTAACCAGTTGTTAGCTTCCAGTCGTCCTGGAATGAATCCATCTCATCATCTGTTGACCCCACTACTACCAGGAAAACATTTAACACTAAAATTAAACCAAAGTTATTTTGATTATTGGTAAATTCTAAAAGCTCCTTAGAATCATAGGGTGCCTCAGGGGCGCCATTATAAATGTCACTGGCCTGTAAATATGTTGAATTGACTTACTGGTTAATAGAGAATTCTGGGTTTTAGAAAAAAGAATAAATTTGTGATAGTGACTAGATCCCAGCTAATGAGAAGAGTCAGGGAAGAAGGTTATCGCAGGGGCTATAAGCCTATTTTCAGGAGAATTACCATAGCTTTCTCTTTATTTCGTCTTTGAATACTGAGATTTTTCTTTTGCTGGAGAAACTCAAAGGGCACAAGGTAATTACAGCTTCTCTCCCTCTGCCTTAACCAGCATCAGGGTGAAAAATTAAACAAAAAGAAATTTAATTCATTTCTCTAACATTTATTAAGTTACCACCATGGCCAGACTCGAAGTTACTTTGTGAGGAGACTTAAAGTGAACGAGGTCATCTCTGCTCTCAAGTTGCTGACAGCTCAGTGAATGGGAAGGAAAAGTTCCTGCTCTAATATCAGAACTTGCCTTGGCGACTTCCTTGTTAGAACAGTTTTTTTTTTCTTTTTTTTTTTTAATGCTGCTTTTGGGTTCCAGACTCTAGACCCCATGTGATTAGGGGGTTTTTCATGCCTTAGCTAATCTCCCAGACTCAATCTTAGACCTAACTTGTTTAAAATACCTGCTTGATCATCTGGCCCTGGCAACACCTCGGGAACTTTGATGCTTGACTTACTGGTGCTCAGCAAGCTCATTCCAGGTAAACTATTCAGGCAGCTCATTGCATTCTGAGATGATGGTGGGACACGCTCTGCTGTGGAGAAATGGAAATAGCTGTGGCCCGTTTTCATGTGTTACCCACTGAATCTGCACGTCCAAATTGCTCTGTATACTCTTATGAAGTCATAGGGCTGTTTTCTTTCTACATACCTTCTGAGGAGTCTATGGATTCTTGATCCATGATAAGTTTTTTGTTTTTGTTTTTTTTAAACAAATGAAATTTTGGAGGCAGGACCAAGCCAGTAGGGTGACTGAGGCACCTCTACTTAGTGAGTCTCCTTCTACCTTTGAGGGAAAATTGCATAAACACAAAGAAATGCTGCTATTCATTTAAATATCCTCACGCCCATGGTTTGCAGGTGTTTAGTGACTTTAGTTATTCATTTATTTTCTGGTGCATTCATTTGCAATTCTGGCCAATGCGGTACTCAAATACCTTGAGCTGTTCCAGAATATTTATTGTGTTAATAGTTCCAAAACAAAATTAATTTAAATTGATATATTTTATAAACACATGCCATGAAGCTATGTAACAAAAAAGTATGTCTTCAGACCTCAAAAATGAGGATGTCAATTTTAGAGTATGGTGACAATAGCTGATACATAGTTACCTGAGGCACCCATTGCCTATGGTCTTTATAAGGCCATTAGCTTTGCACAGAGTAAACCTCTATAATCCGGTGAAAGATAAAGTGCCTAGCCTTACCCAGACCCCTTTTGTGCCCTTCTGTTGTGGAGTTGATGTTATATGCATGTTTTATGGAGAGGCAAGTGGAGAATACAAAAGGAAAAAGCTATTAAAGGGCCAAATCCTCCCCACAGCTGGTAATGATGAGTCAGGAGCATGGTCATTATACATAAGCAGTTGAGTTTTGATCTCTAATCGTTCACACAATTAAATCAACATCTGCTCCTTTAGGTTCTTCCCTTAAACAGAATTTTAGAGAGATTGGGTGACAGGGATACTAACTGTCACCCAATCTCTCTAAATAATATATTAATCTCTTTAGAATACGAAATAAATATAAAAATGATATAATCATCTGCACAAATGCACTTAGGTATAAATCATTAGATTGTTTAATTAATGTATTCATTCATTCAATACATGTTTCTTAAGCACATACATATGTTAGACATTGTGACGATTTAGGGGCATAAATGTGACAAAGTCTCTTTTCACACTGTGGTCTTGATAACAAACCATATTTGTCTGAAACAATAAACTCCTGACACAGAATCTATTCCATAGGCCGGGTTCAGTAAGAGTTTATTGACAAAATCATTGTTTCCCAAAGTGTGCTCTGTGGAACACTCACCTGGAGGTGCTCTGGAAAAAAAAATAAAGAAACAGAGATTCCTAGTCAAAATGTTTGGAAAATGGTAGCTATTACCATTTTTGCTTGAGGATTCACAAAACACAATCATCTATTCAAGGCTCTGAAAACAACTTACTGAATTTTGTTTAATCCAGCATTTTCAAAGTTCATTTAATCAGGGTACCCTTTTAAAAAGTAAGCTTAATAACAATAGACTAAGTGAAAGTGAAAAATCAATGTTCAGAAGACCTCTAATGGTTCCTCCCCTGACTGCATGACCGTGGTCCCATCCCTTAGAGGCCTCATTATTGTGCCTTTTAGATTTAGTGCAGAAGAAAAATTTTGGCTCAGTACCATTAGTAAAACTGAACTATATGTGTGTGTGTGTAATACATGTATAATATACATACATACATACATATGTGTATATATATATATAGTTTGTAAAATGAAATATCAGTAGACAAAAACATGCTAGTCTTAAAGATTGCCCATCCTTTCTTCCAAACATAGTCCTTATAGAATCACAAATGCTTCAAGCAGATTCTAGGTGCATTTCCATCCCAAGTCACTTGGACAATTTTTATATTATTAACCACATGAGTAGAATTTAATAGGAATAGCTAAAATAAAACTTGCCCTTACCCTACCTTTGCTTGTCAGTTTCCATTTCCTGAACAGCACTGATAGGTGTTCCACTCAGAATCCCTCCCAAATCTTTGAGGAATCCTTCAACATTTAAGAAATATGAATCAAGGTTAATTAAATAAAAATGAGAGAAAATGTGTTTTTATGTTGCTCTAATAAATTTGTGGCTAGTCGATAATTGCAAAACAATATATGGGTGAAAAATAGAAGCTGACAACTCAAAGTAGCAAATGCTGATTGTATAGGATTACATTACTGCACAGGGCAATCCTGCTCCCTGCGTATTGCGTGCTTCCTTGAGAAAAGCTGGGAAAGCAGGTGCATATTGCTGTGTCTATTATTTTAGTTATACAGGTGGTTCATTGAAAAGGACTTTTATTTTTTGCTCCCAAAGTTGACTTCATTCCCTTTGCAGCGAGGCTTAAGTTTCTCTCATGTACAGCCCTTGTTTCAGGCTCCATGTGATTTTTTTCCTTTTTTTCCCCTTCCTTCTGGATATTGTTGCTACTGTCAAATGGGAAATACATAGAAATAGGAGATTAAAAATGTAAATTTTATAAACAGAAATCAAAGGTCCTAAATCCTTAGCAAAGAAAAGCCAACATAAGTAAGAACATTAAAAAACATACATAAATAGTGCTTCCAGGCTGAATATGTTAAATAATTCAACAGTTAAGTCATAAGCGTTCTTAAACTTAAGTATAAAAATGCCCTTGACAATATTTCACAGCCGTGCATTTCTTTAAAATATTTAGCATTCTCATTAAAGAGAATGACTTTAGTTTATATATTAGTTACACTCCTGCTTGTTAATATGAAGGAATTTAGGAGGAAAAAGCATTCTTATGTATATAAGCAAAAGGCAATTTACATACAAAGTTGGACAACTATTCACTTTTTATTTATTTCTGGATCATCTGCATCAACATATAGCTATACAGCATTTAAACAAATTTGTTCCTTAATGTGCAATATTAATATTCTGTGCCCCAAAGTGCCATTTGCTAATGCCATTGTGAAGACAGGTTCCTTCAAAGCTACACGGAAGTCCCTGCTTTAGAAAGACTTAATGAACCTTACATTTTTTGGAATACTGCACAGTGTAATGCCTATTACATATTCATTGCCAGAATGGAAGATTTCCTTTAACTCTGCGATTCCTGGTCTAGTTCTCTATAAAACATTGTCAAAAGTCACCAGAGACTTTCGTGGAAAATTGTGACTCTTGATAGCAGGATGTAATGGGGAGGTTTAGAGTAGAGAATCCAGGAGTCTATCGCCCCGCAGGGAGACGTTCTGACAGACAAATGGATGGATAATACAATTTTTGACATAATGGGATGAAAAAGTTTATGCCAGAAAGAACTGAATTAAAGTTATTACTTTAAAAGAAAGTCTGAAGTTTGAAATCATCAGAATTTCCAATGTGTGCTTCATTTTACTGCTTATATGCAGAAGAGATTTTTAACACAGAGATGCTGTCAGGTGATTGATAGAGTTACTAACAAGGCTGCCATAAAATTTTAGTTACCTCTTTGGAAATACCCACAATAACAAACATAATGTTCTTTTTTTCCCCTCCTATTTTTAATAAAGAAAATCTAGCATTGTTCTTTTATGTTTCTACTTCCTCATTACAAAAAGTAGAAGGATGATTTTCAGAGGTGCAGGATACAGTTCTGGGGGACAAAAGACACCATGGTGCAAACTTTTGTCTTTGTTGAATAGTGCTTCGTAATGTAAGGACAGGCTTGGAAGTCAGCGTAACATCTGAGCAGCAGGGCTCTGTTGATGTGGTGAGGACTCACTGGGAAGTCACCATCCATCTCTTGATGCCAACACCAAGGACTTAGCCTAAAATACCATCCCTTCCTCTCCATTTTACACCCACTTCATCCACTCAACTTGAATGTTTGGCAGCATAATGCTACTTTCATTCTCCTTTCTTTCGTTTTATTTTAGACCCTCAAAAAATAATATAATCTCATAGTTGGTTTATCTGCCAATAACTCTATCATACTCATTTTTAATTACTTTATATTAACATTTCACCAAGCAGAGTACTTTGTTTCTACCCCCCATGACTCATTCGGTCATTTTGCATGGATTATATTCATTTAGTGTTTGTCCCCTTTCTGCATGTGTCCCTGCAGGTCACACCATGTCTTCTCACCTTTATATCTCAGTGCTTACCTGGCAGAAACTAAGGTGAGGTGGGTGAGGTGCCGAGGGTGCAAACATTAAGAAGCCACTTTAAGGCTTATATGAGTGAGCACCTCTGTAACTACTTGCCCTAGGCAACTCACTTGCCACCCCTCTACTTTTGACCTTGGCTTTAGCACAGTGCCTGGCACATAACAAGGGCTCAATATACACCTGGCAAGTGTCAAAATGCCCTAATAGATGAGTAAAATGGAAACCATATTTTCTATTGGTGGAATAGATACCTTAATAAAATTCTTTCCTTGCCCTTAACATTTTTGAAGATAGACAGTGATAATTATATCATACCTGCCAGAAACTGGTTTCATATAATTAGATAGGAGAAGTGAACACCTGGACTTAGTGAGAAGGCATATCTCCACAGAGGCTGAGCACTTGCCACTCCTGGCACCCAACTGGCAGAATTTATATAATCCAAAGCTTATTTGAAGAAAATCATATAATTCACTAAGACGAAATATTTGTAATTATAAACATCAAATAAAAAAAAGGAAGTAAAGAAAATCAAATGAAAGGTCAGAAAAGAAAAAGGGAAGAGAAAAAAGAAAAAAACAAAACCTGCAACTTCATCATCTTCCCTTTGCTGAATTCACTAACTGGCTTATGTGTTAGTGATATATACATCCAGTGGCATGTATATTAGCCAGGAATGTTCTGACAGTTCAGCGGCTAGAAAGCACTAATGTAGACTCCCAATGTCTACCATTAATGGGAAAGGGAGAAAAATACAGACCCCAGAAAGCTAGTGCTCTTTAAAATAACAATGTTTTAGTCAATGACTGACAACATATACAACACTGGTCAGAGCAATGGGCTACACCATATAGCCTAGGTGTGTGGAAGGCTACCCCATTTAGGTTTGTGTAAGTACACCCAATGATGTTTGTACAATATCAGAATGATGCATTTCTTGGAATGTATCCCTGTCGTTAAGCAATCCATGACTGTAATATGTAACATTCAGAATGTCTATGTAGATCAAAACATCATGTTGTACACCATAAATATATACTTGTCAATCATACTTTAATAAAGCTAGGGGAAATTAAATAATGTATAGAAGAAAGTGGTAATGGAGAGCATTTGATTTCTTTTTTTAACATTACTCTGTTCAAAACAAAAATAAGCTCAACATGCACTTGGGAGAACTGAACTCCAGTTTTTCAACTTTAGGGTCACCTGCCAACTTTTATTCTTGGGCTTCAGAGGGATATCTGCTTTTATTATGGCAGTGATATTTAAGAATTTTTTTTGTGTGTTAGAATCAGGAATACCTGCTTGGAAATAAGATGATGATACATACCCATTAAATTCCTATAGTGTTTTATAAAATGCATTTTCTAATGGTATTGCATTTCATTCTTATAGGAATCCTGTGGTATGTAGGTATTAGAGTCACCAATATATCAAAAAGAAAACTGTGGTTGAGAGAAGCCCAGCAATTTAATTGATGTCAGCTGGTAGGTAAGTGCATATGCAAACCACTCAGTCCTCAAACCAAATGGAAAGAACATTTCTTTCCATGCTATTATTTAAATGTATCAAAAATTGCATCACACAATTGAAACCATCATCAAGTTATTCTATAAAGCATGCCAAGTGCTACAGGCCTGGCTTATGATATTTTAATGTCATATGTTTGCATTAAGACATCATATCCATTAAAAATACTTTTGGGGGTTATTTGATGCTTTCTGGGGTGCCTTCCTGGTTTTAAAGGACACAGCTTGTGTGAATAGAATCCATATCAATATTTGAGATGACTGAAGAACACATAACCTAACGTGAGCTCTTTTTATATGGAAAAAAATGCCATGCTCTCCTAATTATGACAAATACAAAAGTCACTGTGTTTAGTCAATGCCCTGTAACCTCACAAAGGAATGGACTGGAAAGCCAGCAGCCACTGGTGAGAAGCATTAGCATCTACTAGTGCCCTAGAACAGTTTGGCACATTGTTCAGCAGTGCATCGGGTAGATTTGGAACGCATTTATTGGGAAATAATCCAATAATGACCTGCCAAAGCCCTTATACAAAAGCTCTTGTGCCCATTGTCAATCATTCACCTCTGACATTTCAATGAACATCCTCTTTGGGATGGGTTTCAGCCATGCCAACAACCCAAATGCAACAAACAAAACCACAAGACTAGAGAGAAGAGAGAAGACCATGCTACCTCAAAGCATCAGAAGGAAGTAACACCCTGGGCAAGAGGTTGCCAAATATTGTTTAGGAATACAATACAGGGATCCCCAGCACCATTGTTACTGCTCACAAAGTGGCTGACATCTACCACCCACACTAAAAATACATTTGGAGACCTAAGATCCAGACACTGAATGGGATGCCAGAGAGTCGGGGGAAACTCTTGGATTCCAGAAGAGAAAAGAAATCAGATGGTCCATCACACTCCCCTAATTTCTCTCTATCTCCCTGCTACTTAATATATTTGAGTGCGTATGAGTAGAAAATCATGCAATAGAGAAACAATCTGCGTCTATCCAATGCCAAGCATCTATATGGTTAAGAGTTTTTAGATTTCATATGTTGTGATTGAAAAAAGTTACATACGTTTTTACTGGATTTTCAGATACTCATATACTACCACTGAGGAACAGCATAACCCACAAAAGTTAGAGTGGCTATCTTAGTTATTTGAACACTGGGTTCAATGTTTGGTCATTATGTGGGCAACACGCAGAGCTATATAGGAATTGGTCTCTTGGCTGGCATCTCTTTATCTTGGTGATCCTGAGAAGTCTACATTTTGTTCAAAAGGGGAACCTGGAATGCCCTGGGAGTAGCAAAGTAGTAAAGTATTACCTTGTTAAAAAAAATAGCACTGTTTCAAATGCCAAACAGGAATTGCAGGTTGGGTTTCAGGACTCCTTTAAAAGAACGAAGTCTATCACATGACAATAGGTGGGTTCAGAGAGATTCATACCGGGAGACCACGTAAACGGAGGCACCAGTGACTTAACTCCACAGCAAGAGATAAAATGAATCTGAATATGATCCTGGAGAACCAAATTTGAAATTTAGCACAAATGGAAAGAGGGGATGTCCTATGGTGCATTTCATGTGAAACCTGTCTTATTCTTCTAACTATTTGGAAACACAATTTTTCCTCCATGGTGATGTCAACATTCTCAAGTCCTTTTTATTCTTGGTAGCTTTTAATTGTATAATTTCTCAGACTGGAAACTTTGCTATGATGTTAGATGATGATGTTTGGTTGAGAGGAGTGCCTAGGGATAAACTGACTTTGTGAGTACCATAAAAACCTTCTTGAGTGGCCTCAGTAGGGAAACTGAGTCTTCTTCCTTAATCCCTGGAAAAGGTAGGCTACTTACTCCCTATGCCATGGGGTAAGTGCCCATTTGCTCTCTGGGTACTATGGCACAGGATGGCAGTAATAATTGTCCATGATAAGTAATGATGTTCAGCTGCCAGTCAGGCTCTGCCATGGCAGGCTGTGAGGCACTCACTCACTGTACCTGATCCTCAGTTTTTCTGTGGGTAAAATGGGAAGACAGAAACTGCTGGCTCACTGAGGTCCTGGAGGTTCTACTACTCTGTCCCTCCATACCACCCATTGAAGAAAATTTCCTCTCAGGTGTCCTATTTTTCCATCCTCTATTCCATGTCCTATATTTTTTTGAACACCCTTTAATTCAGCTAAATATCTGGGTCCTCTTACTAAGCACCCTGGAAGCCAGGAGTGTGTGCCTGTTTTCCCCTACATCTAGCTGGGGGAGGACAGTAGGAGGACCTTTTTCATTTCATAATTCACAGCCACTGGTCTTTCCAATATCCCCAAGAACTGGCTTTCAAAAGTCTAGCAGGAAATGTGAAAAAGAGCAATGAATATGGAGTCATCCCCACTGTCCTTCCCAGAGGCATCATCATCTTCAGACAATCGATTAAGGGCGTGACACTCAGCTTGGCACTACTGAAAATGTTAAAAGAAAAAGCCACAGCTCCTGCCCTCTAGGGGCACAGACAACTGGTGATAGCATAATTAACACACATAGGGAAAATACAGAGACAACAGTAATTGCATGAACACTAAACAATTAACCACCCTTACTAAATGCATAAAGAGAATAATTTAGTTGACAAGTCACAGGCCAGGACTCTGGATCAGGGGCAGGGTAGAGTCCAGGGGGCTGGGGGTGCTCACTCTGGCAGGGGCAATGCTTTGCTCTGTGACCAAGGGAAATAAATCACTAAGCCCTTCTGTGATTTTGCAAGATGAGGGGCATGATAACTCCATCTCAGAAATAGGAAGTTAGAGAAAACTAGTAAAGATGATGTTGGTGACCTACTTGGTAATATGAACGATGTTATGGTACAGTGGAAAGAGGCCTAACTATGATGCCAGGCATTGCACTGGGCACAAATATGACAAGTGCTTTCCTCTAGGACACTTATGCTCCAGGGAGTAGGGAAAACATGGACACATGAGTGACCACTGAGAAACACAGCGGGGTCAGTTTAGAGCAGGGACACCCAAGTCCTCAAAGCCTAGTCACCTGTCCCATTCTCCTTGACTTCCCTTGTCATATCACTGGGCTGATGCCCTTTTCTCCTTGGCAGTCTTTCTCTTCTTGATTTCCATAACATGGCACTGCCTTAGTTTCCCTAACTCTATTTGGAACATCTTATTAAATATTTTAAGCGATATTTTAATATGTTTACAGATTATTTGTAATTATAATTTGAGAGTGAGCTAAATAATATCCTATGATGTGGATACATCATTATTTACCTAACCATTCCTGTGGGTAGATAGTTAGATTAGTTCTGTTTTTATTCTCACAATTATCCCTTCAATAGGTGAACAGGTCAAAGAGTATGCATCTTTCTTAAGGTGTCTTCTGTGCTGCAGAAGCTGTACCTGCTGTCATCATGGCCCGTCACATGTTAGAGCCATTCCAGCGCCACCCTAATTTCTTTTTAGAGCATTCATCAGTGGTTCCTTCTCCCACTGCCCTACATCATCTTTCAAAACTCCAACCTCAGTCTTCTTTCTTTTTTACTATAATTCTCCTCAAATACAGACACTCATGATGTCAAACAAATCCTCAGCTGAGGCCTCTCAAATAGACACATCCGTCTCTGAACTCTCATCACTTGGCCATCCAACCAGCCTCTCATCCATCTATGTGCTCATCAATTATGGAGCCTCTCCATACTCCATTGAGACCCTTTTCCCAGAGATACAAAGATGAAGACATGGCCTCTACCCTTAGGGCACAAATAGATTAGTGGAGTTGAGGGAGAAGACAGACAAACAGACACATGATTAAGTTCAACTGTTGCAAAGTGGATGAGGATTCTCACTTCAGTGTGGAAAGAATAAGGTGTTAGGGACAGTTTCCCCCAGAGCAGGTGACATCCAGGCTGAGTTCTGAAGGATGTGTGTGTGTGTGTTAGCCAGATTTAAAAAAATAACAAAGAATGTTTCTGTTGGAGAAGTAGCAGGATAAAAAGAAAGGAAGGGAGAGGGAACAAGGGGAAGTGCAAGCAGATCAGTGAGCATGGTGTGTGTGTGCATGTGCACACATGGGTATATGCATGCACACATACATACACATGTGTGAAAAGCCATTTTCATCTGGCAAGAGACAAGACCATGAATTTTTTGCTCATTGCACTAATGTTTGACCTTTCTCCTGAAGGGTCTAAAGCAGGAGGGTGGCATGGCCAGGTTTGTTTTTGAGGAAAAGTGCTCTTCCAACAGCAGGGCAGAATGGAGGCAAGGAAGAGAATTGACGTACCCAGTGGAAGAGGTGATGAGGACTTAAACTAAATCAATGACAAAACTAAATCAATGACATTGACGGAAGAGGTGATGAGGACTTAAAGTAAATCAATGACATTGAGGATGTAGAAACATGAGGAAATACCAAAGCTATTGAGAAGGTAGAATTGACAGAATAATTGGTTAACTATTTGGGAAGAAAAAGAAGGTTGGTGAAGGATGAACAGGAGGTATTAATGACCCTCAGGTGTTTGTCTGGGTAGCTAAACTTTCATGCAGCATCAGTACAGACTGGACCAGCAGAGACCACCCAAGCAGAGTTGGTCAGCCATGAGATGAGAAGAAGGTCAAAGACAAACCCCCAAGGATCACTGACATTTACATGGCAGGCTTTCCTCATGGAGGGTGCTGAATTTACATGAGTGCAACACTAAAAGCTTCCATCTTTCTTTCAAGGCTGCCCTGGTCGGAAGAGCATTCAACTCTCCAACAGCAAATGACTGCAACTACCTAAACTTAAATGATACTATGACAATTGTTATAAATTCTTGACATTTGTATGTGCCAATAATGTTGTAAGGTAGATCTTAGTATTCTTTTATTAGTGATTATTAGAGAGGCTAAGTAAGTTTTTTTGAGTTTGTGCAGCTAGAAAGTGGAGGAATTAAAATCTGACAGGTCTGTGTGATGCCAGAG